ACAAAGTGGTTACAGCTAGACAGAGTACTAGCTCTTGAGTGCCTCAAATTTTCCTTCTCTGAGAGTTACGGAGAATCTGTCTTATTCTAGTACACTGATGATAAAATATAGACAACTTGGCTTCAGGAAGTCAACTGATTGGAGACCTTCAGCAAACATAAAGAGTTAAATGGTGGTCAGTCTTTTGATCTACACTAAAACCTAATTGCTGCTGTTAGATCTGATTGCAACTCTCTCTCTCTCATGCCCATACCTTAAGCACCTTCCGCCTACTCTGGAATGGTATAAGCCCTTACAAAAAGAGAAGAGAACCATAGACTGCAATTTGTGTTGCTTGCTGTCACTGAATTGCAAAGCATCTGCAGGCAGATGAAGGACTTCTGTAAGTGTGACCAGTGTGTAAGGAGGAACATTATGTTCAAAACCAGTCTCTTAGCCAGTAAAGCACATTTTGGACAATACAAGGCTGTTGTAGGGAATTTTTTTGTGGCAGTGAGTAACTGACCATGCCTAAGTGCCATCCAGTTACAAAGAGATGATTTAACTCTCTTGAACTATTTGAAACTATAGATTAATAAAAATATGTTGGGAAGCTTAGAGTCTGGTTTAGTATTGTCCTAATTGGTACAGGGTAAATAATTTTGAGAGAAATAAGGGTTTTCCCCCACCCTTAATACTCTAGTTTTGTATTACTGTTTTAAAATGAAAGACAAGTCACCTGGGTATCAGTAGTCAACCCAGCGGGTGAAATTTAACCTGTGTTTTACATGGCTAAATAACAGTCTTCACTTTCAACATTTTACCATATGATATGAAAAATAGTTTAATATGCATTCAATATGTTCTGTTCTTGTAAGTTCCTTTGTGATCTCAGCTTTTCTTATAAATAGTTTGGAAATCAAAACATAAAATGGAAGTAGCTGTTTCCAATTTCAATTTTAATCTTTTTCAGGTGGAAAGACATGACATGAATACCCTGAGTTTGCCTGTTAATATTCGTCGTGGGGGTTCAGACACCAACCTCAACTTTGATGTACCTGATGGGGTCTTAGAATTTCACAAAGTCAAACTAAGTGCAGATAGCTTGAAACAAAAAATCCTGAAAGTTACTGAGCAGATCAAAATTGAACAAACAGCCCGTGATGGAAATGTGGCTGAATATTTAAAACTGGTGAACAGTGCAGACAAGCAACAAGCAGGACGTATTAAACAGGTCTTTGAGAAAAAGAACCAGAAGTCTGCCCACTCCATTGCCCAGCTGCAGAAGAAATTGGAACAGTATCACAAAAAGCTCAAAGACATTGAACAAAATGGATCCTCCAAGAGTACCAAGGATATTTCCAAAGACAGTCTGAAAGATATACAGCACTCTTTAAAAGATGTCCTTGGCAAATCTCGCACTACTGGTCATGGAGCTGAGGGCAGCAAATCGGGTGTGCCAGGGGTGTCCTTGACACCTCCGGTGTTTGTTTTTAACAAATCTAGAGAGTTTGCAAACTTGATCCGAAATAAATTTGGTAGTGCTGATAATATTGCTCACCTCAAAAGTACCCTGGATGAATTTCGACCAGAAACTAGTTCTAGGGCCTATGGTGGTAGTGCCACTATTGTGCCTAAAACTAAATATGTTAGCGATGATGAATGCTCGAGTGGGACATCTGGCTCTGCAGATAGCAATGGCAATCCTTCCTTTGGGCCTGGTGGATCAGGCACTCTGGGCAACCAAGAAAAGCTTTCTATGATCTTGGAGGAACTGAGAGAAATAAAGGAGACGCAATCCCAATTAGCTGAAGATATAGAGAACTTAAAAACACAGTTTAAAAGAGACTATGGTTTTATCTCTCAGACATTGCAAGAGGAAAGATACAGGTATTTTCTTTTTCATGCTTTCTTGAAATGGCTTTTGCGTGGTTATATGAAGTGATTCAGAATCATGTGAATGCAAATATATTCTTTAAGAGAATTAGTGAGCTTGAATGTGTTGTTTGTAAAAATGAATAAATAAAATAAAAATTAACTTCCCTTTTTGTTCTTAGTAATAAGTATTGGCTACAAAAGTGCTGTTTCTTTTGTTAACCTACAATACATTTGTAACAATAATACTTCAAGTTAATAGATGGGACAGTTATGTTCATTTAGTTAAGGCTTTTCTGGAAAGTTTTAATCTGCCTCTTGCTTTACTGGCATAATGTATTATATGAATATTGCATACAGTTGGTGCCATTGCTGTCATAGTCAAAGGAAAGTTTTTGATTTATTTCCATTTAGAACCTGATAAACAATCTGTGATGTAATAGAGCTACTTCTACAATTGACAGTGTATTCTTATTCCCAAGCCATTTCCTGCAGTTTGGCATTATGAATGTTCACAAGCCCATAGTTACCCAATGCAATTTTGAGAGAGAGTGCAGTAAACTACGGTGATATGTCATTTTAAATGCTTTAACAAAACATCCTCTTATGGTCCTAAACTACTTGGAAATTAACCTTTTAACATCTATTATGGGCAATGATGTATATTCTGCATAAAATCCAGACCTGGAGCCAAACACTTGGACATAAACCAAGATTGTTTTTTAGTATTTCTCCCCTAAGGTAAACAGTGAATTTTGGACATCTCCATTTTTTAAACCGTAGCATGAGATGCACTTGATTCTTTAGAAAGCGCTAATCACCTGAACTCTTAAATTTTGTGCTTCTTGGTTGTTAGATTGGATAGCAGTTACCCTTTAAAATCTTGGCCAAGTAAAATGTATCCAAATATCAAATGTCATATTAATTGTGAAATGAACAATTTGATTAATGAGATGCATGTCTTTGTAAATAGGAAAAAAAAACCCCATTAGTATAAAGCACAGTACTTAATAAAAAATCCCTTGTTTTACTGTTTTCAAAGTGAAGGGAAGGCAGGTTATTTTAGATGGAGAAGAGGGGAAAATATATAAAAGCCACCACAATGAATTTCAGCCTGAGACGTAAAGGCATGAATTGGGTACACTTATTTAAATGATATTTTCTATTATACCACCAACATATTTGCAAATAACTTTTAGGGTGTTGACTAAATGGGTACATGGATGTTTTACTTTCACTAATTTTCATTGCAAATCAAAGTGGTCGTGGTTTGGCTTAAGAGTATGGAATAATCAAATAAAGAGGGTAGCTTTTTAAAGTGCACATCTCTTCAAAAGATGTAACCACACTCTCATATAGGAGCTAATTTAGACTTGATTTTTTTTCCTGAAAAGGTATGAACGATTGGAAGACCAACTAAATGATCTGACTGACCTCCATCAGCATGAAACAGCAAACTTGAAACAAGAGCTAGCTAGCATAGAGGAGAAGGTGGCTTATCAGGCCTATGAGCGGTCACGAGATGTTCAGGTATTTTTATGACTGAACTTGCTAGGTATTCTACAAACTCTTGTATTTAAATAATTTTACATATTTACATTTAAATTTAAGGAATGTTATTAAAGATTTAGACCCCCCCCCCCCTTTTTTTTTTTTTTAAACGTGTGTAGGGTAACTTTATGGCCCCTTTAAATTTATGGCGAAGATCTCACTTCAATGAAACCAGAGGAGCTGGGATGGTTTTGGTGCTAAGGCACAGAGTTGACAGCCCAGAGGTCACAAGTTCAAGGCCATAGCAGAAGTGCTCATGGCGCAGCCTGTTGGATTCTAATGAGTCTCCAAATTCTACTAAATACCTTGTCACAAAAACATGAAAAAAGAAGGAACAGAAACTTACTCCTTGTTAGCAGAGGAGTAAATAATCCCCAGGTCATGTATTAAATATTCTGAAATGCAAGAATTTTGCTTCTGTCTCTGTCTGCCTCATTGCAAAGGTGGCATTTTTTCCATCAGCTTGCTAATAATCCCTAAAGCCCTTCCAAAATTTATTAATGTTGTGTGACATTTTATTATAATTTGAGTTTATAGTACCAGAACTGGGTAGTTATTAAGAAGAAAAATTGACTGAGATCCCAAATCAATCATAGAATACATTTGAAGCTATGTCAAGAGGTAAGACTTTTTTGTGATACCTCTATTGGACTTTTTTTGAGCATCAGGTCAAAAAAATTTCTCCTTCAGCATTTGGTCTGAAGGAGAAACAGCTATGTAGCTATAGGAATTAGAAATATATTTTAGATAGAAACTCATAAAGTTTCCATCCTACTGAGACTCCTTTTTACCCCGTGTTTCTCCTGCAACAGTTGTTGTCCTTGTTCTTACCTGAATTACTGGAGGAAACTGCATTCCTGATACTCCTTTAGGGGTATAGGTTGTAGCCATGTTGTTCTTCTTCAGGTTGAAGAAGTGACTGCAGTTGATCAGACCAACTGCAGATGCTTCCTCAGCCTGATGAAGGGTATTTGTACCCAAAAAAGCTTGCAAAGAAGAATTTTCCCAACTGTTTAAGTTGGTCTAATAAAACAGGTTGGATTTACCCAAAGAGCCTTGTCTATCTGATACTGCTTTATGCATATGAAGTGAAAAATCTTCCAGATAACTGATGAAAGACATTAATCTTTAAGATAATTATTTTACTACTAGTAATATAAATTGGCACATGGACAGACCTAATTATTACTTTGGCTAAGCATTTGGGAGTATTTTTATTAGAATAAGATCTTCAGATCACCTAAAAAAAAAGAGCTGAGCTATGTCATCAGCTTTGATTAGAAAAAAAATATGAGGTGGTATATGTCATGTTGAAAAAATAAATTTAGTTGGGGATGGGGAATTTCTATTTTAAAATTGAAATTGAATTGAAAAATGAAATGATTTCATCTATGGAAATTGAACAATAATTTTAACTGAAAAATAGCATAGTCTAAGTATAGTCAGCTAGATATTCAACATCATAGAAATGTAGTATTAGAAGGCACTTCAGGAGTTCGTCTGCTCAAGCCCTCTTTCCTTTCCAAAGGTTAATGGAAAACCTGAAGTATTCACTATTGATTTCCACCCCCCCCAACAATAAAATGTGTATTTTGATTACTACTACAAAAAATGAAGAAGTTAGATATTGAAGTATAATGATAGCATTCAGACAGCAAAATGTTTCTGCATTTTATTTATGTCAAGAACATATTAATGGAACCATCTCCCCTTTTTTTCAGTCAATATCATGATATTCAAAGTGATTAGCATCCCTAGCTATAATGAAAATGTTTGGCTGAGCACTGTTCAGTGCGACTCTTCAGATATGTATGCTTACAATGTATTTAAGACATGGATTAATGAGCCCTGAAAAGGAGAGCACAATCTGTTGCTGAAAACACAGTCCCAGCACTATACAATAGGTGGCTTTCAAGAGGTTGAAAGTGAGTTTTGAACAGAATAGAGGTGTAAACCTAATGGTACACACTGCACAATAGATTTAATTGGTGTCACAGCAAACCAGTACCCTCCTAATGTTTTCTGTAGCGTATGCAAAGAAAGTAACTTTGGTGCGGGCTTAATACAGTGAAGTTACCGTGGCAACAGCTTACCCAGTTCTTCAGTTCATCAGTATATTCAGGAAACATGAGCCATCATGAATGTTAAAACTGAGATTTTTCTCCAGCACAAAAGATGGAAATATGCTTTTGATAGCATCGTTGAGGGAGATTATACTTCAACAGATGATGGTGTATACATTTTTTAACATTTGTTTGTGCAGTTTTTTTTAGGTAATTCATACATTACACTTCATCTTATCTGAGAGGTGGCTCAGTATCTAAATGAGAAAATGTTTTGTGTGGAAATGCAGCTGCCCCTGAGTCTTATTTTCCTTTGTCTCTAGGAAGCCTTGGAATCATGCCAGACCCGGGTTTCTAAGCTGGAACTCCATCAGCAAGAACAGCAAGCACTGCAGTCAGAGACTGTTAATGCCAAAGTACTCCTGGGAAAATGTATAAATGTAATCCTGGCCTTCATGACAGTCATATTAGTGTGCGTCTCAACTATTGCAAAGTTCATAGCGCCTATGATGAAGAGCCGTTTCCATATCATTTGCACTTTTTTTGCAGTGACTCTACTTGCAATATTTTGTAAAAACTGGGATCACATTGTCTGTGCCATAGAAAGGATGATCATACCAAGATGAATCCATTAACCTGGATGTTCTATTTTTTTTTTAAATGCTGTATGTATACAAATTACCAACAATTTTTTTAACTTCTCAGTTTAAATGTGATGGCTGGATGAAGAAGGTTTGAAGAAGAGACCCTAGGGTGTAAATATTCTGTGGCAGTCAGTTGCCTGTTCAGTCCTACTGTGTGTAGTTGGACAAACTGATTGTGAACTACTCACTCTCATAAGTCATTTGCCTTAAATCTGACCAAAGTTTTCCCACTTTGCAAATCAGCATATGTCTAAGGTGCAGTGTTTTTAGGTCAGAGCAACCTAAGGTGTAATGTGTCTTATTGACTGGATGGAGGGGAAGCAGTAGTTCAGTTCAGGAGGGATAGCTCAGTATAGCCAGTACAAACTTGCCTCATCCCCATTAGATCAATTCAATTGTCTAACTTCCCCTGTGAATCATGCTGGAATGCACCCTATATTATATGGCATTCAGACATACTATAAAGTGTGGCTGGTATTTCCTCATGCTCGGTGATTAAAAATCTGTGAATTAGAAACTGGGAGGTGGTTTTATTGCTTGTTAGCACCATGGTATGATGCTCCTGACACTGGATAACTTTACACGGATGGTTTATTCTTAAAATGTTACACTTGCCCAACACTTTTTTTACAATTGGTGCATCATGTCACATTTAACAATAAAACTGCTGGTAATGCTGCTATGTTGAATTAAATCTCTCTTGTGGCCATTTTGAACATTGCAGCCTACAGAGAGAAGGTGCATACAGAAAGCCAGTTGTATAAACTTTGGTTAGCACTTAGTTGATGGGTTCTCTGGAGGATTATAAAATAGATAACACTGGGCCTCTAACTGGAGTGAGGAAATAGCTGGAGGAATGGAATGATGTGGGTTTTTTTTCCAGGCTGGAATAAAGAATATGGAGGAACCTCAGGAACAGGTAAGCATTTGGGAGTAGATTAAACTTTCTCATACATTAGAATTGCTGTGCAACCTCCATTTTAAGAAACCTTCTCAGAAGCTACATGTTAGGCAACATGCATTATGAGGCAGGTTGTTTAAATGAATTACTCTGTTAGATCTAGAAATTACATAAAGTTGTTTTCCTTGAAATCTTCCTGTTGCCTGGATAACCAGATATGATGTGTAATACAAGATATGAAATAAAAAAAAAAATCTCTCCTCCATACACCTAAGCTCAGAAACTTGATGGTGTCTCTGGTTATTTAATATTACATTAGCCTTGTGCTTACTTGGGTTGCAGGTTAGTTATGCCTGAATTTTACTTAAGTGCAATAGCTGATATGCAAATCCCTTGTCAATATACTGAGAAAAAGAGAAAAAACACTTTATCCCTTCACCATCACTGGATCTACAGTTGATCTAGTGGTTTCAAGTGCTGAAGGAAAAACTTTGGAGAGCCAAATTTTAAGAGCTATTAAAGGAATTCTGGTAACATGTTCAAAGTCTTGGAGCACAGGAGTCAGGAAAGATTGTTTCTAAGTTGCTGCAGAGACAGGAAACTGATCAAATACGACACTCCTATGTTATCCTAACTTGACCCTGCTCAATCTTCCAGGGGAAAGTGGGCACAAAAAAACACCCCTGCTGATCGTGGTATAACCTTATAAACTCCAAATGTAGTAGTTGGTTTTAACCCTGTAAGTGAAAGCAAGAATCACCATGTAAGCATTCAGCTCCATTTATTTTCCATTTCACCACTGGTTTCCACATAATTATTCTTCTCTCATCTGTGTTTCTTTTCAGTTCAGTGAGATCCTTATTCCCAGTTTTTTTTAAGTTCTAATTTAGATACTGTATGTACATTAAAAATTCATCTCCACCCATTTTCAGGCATCTCTCTTACCTAGTTGATAAACTGAGAAGATTACAAACTGTATCAGTTGAAGAGATTTAAACCTATCTTCATAGTGAAGTCTCCTATAACTTTGAAAAATCTTTGTTGTTTTCTGGACTTACTCCAGAATTTGTACAGCCCTAAAGACTATTTCCCTTTTTTTGTTTATATACCCAGTTGATGCATCCTGAGAACCTTTTGTCCTCCTTTACTGCAGGTAAACAATACATTCCCATCTTCGTTAGTGCTAATGTACATTAAGTCCTTTTTATTGTTTGTGATTTCCAGGTCTTTAGCCAGCAATTGTATTTCAGATTCAAAATCCTTTACTTTTACAATGACTCATGCTAATATCCATTAGCCATTTTAATAAGCCATCCTTCTTACAGATGGTATTTGTTTTACGTACTCATTTCTAACTTTGTACAATTTACCTTTAGATAAAAAACCTAATCTGGGGGCCCCAGTACTCTGAGCTGCTACACTATTGACTTCTTATCATTTACTGCCATTTTTGTTAACCTTTTTATGCAATTTATATACATGTTCCAGACTAAACTTTTGAAAAAATCATGCATTTCTATAACACTTAAGTGGTTCACAAAATAACATGGATGGATGCTATTTATCAGTAGCTTTACCAAACTCAAGAAGATAAATTTAGTCTGGCATGATCTAGTTTTATTGATTTAACCTTGCTGGTTCTAATGTTGAAGATCTGAAGTTTTGATTTAATTTATGTAATCTATCCTGACTGTTTCCAGGATCAGGACTTAAATACCACAAGCCTACTTATATCTGAAAGGTCAATCAGTATCTCTTAAGCAGAAAATTTGTTATAGTGCAACATATGAACAAGAGAGCATCAATGCATGGGTGAATTGTGGTGACCTGCTGTACTACCCTCACATGGTCAGAGTTCAAAATGGGGACATAGCATTCTGGAGTGAGCCAGGTGGGGTCACAAGAAAGGTTTTAGACTTGCCTAATAAATTCGACTAATTCCAAATAAAACATAGTGACATGTTACATAGCAATATAGTTCGATATTGGCTTTGTATCAGGAAGATGGCATACAAAGAAATTGCTAGAAATATCTAAAGTAAGAAAAAGCAGTGTTCTTTCTTTAAGTTACTGTATTCTAACTAGCAATTGGGCATGTCACCTATTTACAGTCAAGAAGTAATAGTCTTGCTATTGCCCTTGCAAGGGTCTGAGGCATGAACAACCTGGGGATTGCAGATTGTCAGTGGTGGGGTGGCAAGCGGTGACCGCTTGCAGGCGCCACCAACAGTGTTGGCGATGCCTTTTTTTGTAGGGGGTGCACAGCCATGCCAGGGGGTACACGTGCACCCACGTGCACCCCCTATGTGTCGCCCCAGGTCTGGGGCCTACCCTTGTTGCTGTCCTGTACTAGGAAGATCCAGCTGCCTTACCCAGACTGTCTCTGGGGATGCCACACTTCTTGACCACTGTCATACAGTCAGCTGTGACTGAAAAAAAAATAGTTTGTACATTCTGTGTTCCTAAAACAATGTGTGTGTTTTACTTAGGGGTGTGTGGTAGGCAAAAAAATGTGGTCCTTGGTGGCACAGCAACCTGGGGCATACCAAGTTCCTTGGAAAGCTCAGACATTGGTTTCTAGCCCATGCTGAAGCTGTCACTACAGCTTCAGTACTATTGTTACCCATTCTAGCTGGATTAAAGCTAGCATGAGTGAAGGCTGAAAGATGTGTGTGGTGGTGGTGGGGGAATAATACACTTTACAAGAAGCAGCAGTGTGTTAATTTTCTTTGATTCTATGAAGCAAGGTTGGAAAGGACCTCAGGAGGTTATCAGTCCAACTCCCACTTTGACCTGGCTCTGCAGCATCTGTATAGATTGGGCTCTTCAACGGGGCTTTTTGGAGCTTTTAGCTAAAACTGATTAAATCAGCTATTAGATAAAATCACCAAAAATACCATACTAAAGTGCCCAGTCTATACAGACATTGGGAGCTGGGTGCAACTAATGCAATGCCTCTTCTGGGCATGCGCTGGGCTCAACACAGGCATACGCCAAGTTTAAAGTTCCATTTTTGGGAGGTTTTTTTTTAACTACATCTTCAAGCAGCCAGTGTTCCTATCTAAGCCACAACTGCACCTTCTCTTGCTGTGTAGGCACACCCTTAAATATGCCTGTTTTCAAGGCCTTTTCACACTGAGAATTTTCTTGGCCTTCTTGGTTAGTGTCTTGTGTCTTCTGACCAGTTCTCACTAGCTTTTGTGTAAGGCTTATCCCTACAGATGTTTTTTCCTTCAGTTCCATTTAAGAGAAAGCATTTTGAACTCTTATTAAAATATAAGATTACTTTTTTAGTATGCTTATTTCATTCAGTCCCTTTAGGTATATGCATAACTTTTTGAAATGCTCTCTCACAGAAGATGTTGAATTTTATTTTATTTTTCTTCTAGCTGATTCTGCCTGGCATTCAAAGAACTACTTCACTTTACCTTATGATGATCACTCTTGCCAACTGGTTCTTGAACATCATGTTCTTAATAATTTAATCATAATTTGTTGCAGCTGGGTCCAGAAGCATTACTAGTTGTTGCTGGTACCTGCAATGCTCAAAAGAAAATTTCACTTCTGTAGGAACAAAGGCTTTGGGGGTATAGAGTGCATGCTCAATTGCCAGTTGATCCCTAGAGAGTTACCTTCCCATGGCAATTACCTTCATCTGAATAATCTTTCTTCTTTCAGCCTGCGGTTCCAAATTGAGTATTTTTTCTATGGTAGTAGCACTTGGACCACTGCTTGCAAGCAGCAATGCCTCTTCAACCTGTGGCTTTTCATAGAGAATATTATTAAAGGTGTGGGTTTTTATGTTGCATGCACTGGATGTCTTTCCCACAATCATGAATAATGCAACACATGCAATTTATCTCTGTCAATTATGGAACAAGTACTGTAATTTTTTTTGTTTTGATCTGGAGTGTGTTTGCTGCAATTCACCTGGGGGTATATGTGTTGTGGGTTTTTTATTAACACTGACTGACTGTTTATGTGGTTTCTAAGTCATTCAGCACTGTGTGTGACTGATTGTCTTAAGTCTTGCACTGTAGGTTTATTTATCAGATATCCAAATAAACATAGTTTCACTACTGCCCAATATTGCCACCTGATTTAAAATGGCAGGGTACTACACTATTCAAATTCTATCCTTTTTCTGCTTTATAGTACAACTTGAGTCATCCTATTCATATAACTCTGTTGTTTTTTCTTATCTTAAACTTCAGTAATAACCATTTATTCTGACAGCTCAAAGAAAGCAATTGAATCTGGTCACCATTCGGCTATTATCAAAGTACTTATTAGGACGTAGTACAAGTGACTGCTTCAGGAGTACGGTGTCTAGTTCTGATTATCCGTACCACTGGAAGGATATTGGAAAAAGTGGAGAGTTCAGAAAAACACCCACACCAGAACAATTACAAGATTAGAAAACATCAGAATAATCAAGGATCTCCAGCGGTTTAGTGCAGTTTCAAAAAAAGGTGGTTAACTCGAACCTAATCTGTAAACATTTATATGGGGAGCTGGAATGCAATAATGGGGGGGTCTTCAATCTATCAAAGAAATACAAAGATCCAATAGCTGGAAGATGAAGGTAGACAAATGCAGACTAGATATAAGGTTTTTGGAACAACTTTAACCAAGGGCTACAATGAATTCTCCATCATGGGAATATTTTAAATCACAAGCAAATCGATGCTTTTCTGAGAGTGATGCTTAAGTTGAAAAAGAAATTAACAAGGAAAGCTGTATGCCCTGCATAGTACAGGAGGTCAAGCAAGATGATCACAGTGGTCCCTTCTGGCTTTAGAACTTCAACAGTGATTGGCAGCAGGGCTAGAATCGCACAGTTTGGATCTGCGGCAGGCCACTGCTAGGTGCCCTGCCACCTAACACTGCCAAAGTCCCCTGACTGCCAGCTGGATCCAACACTGGTTGCTGTCCCCTGCCCTGTGAAAACAGAAACACTTGGAAAAAGTGTTCAATACACAGACTCCTGAACCACTTTAGGCAAATTTTATTTCAAGTCCCATTTTCAAAAGTAGCAGGCAGTGAGGCTTCCTACGTCCTTAGGTGCTGTTGAAAACAATTCTCATATTGATGGCTATGAGTCTTTGGGGTTTTTTTAACTGTTTTTAGAAAAGTAAATGTTTTAATGCTAAAAACTTGAAATATAGTGCTGCAAGTGGACTGGTTTTTCAATGAAGTTTGACTACATTATGAGGTTTATCTTCTACTACAGTTTGAAAAAAATTGACACTTTTACATTAAAATTGTAATGGACTAATTAAGCCAATATCAAGTTTAGCTGAATTGTTACTTTTCCTGGAACACCACAGAGCACTATAATATCTAGCCAGTAAAATCCCCTGACATACTTTGTAGGAATTCGGAAGACACTGTACATACAGATTTCATCAGGACTGGATAAATTGCCTTGTAAAGTTAATGTATTGTACATTGTACTGATGTTGGGAAATTCTTTCTAACAGTGTATCTCCTTTTCTTTCATTGTAAGATAATGATGACTTGGCAGTATTACAGTGTACTGATAACTCTATTTTAATTGATGCTATTTTGTCTCAGTGTTTAATCTTCTGTGTACTTCATACCACACTTTCATTTGGTGAAGCACTGTGTAAAGATACAACTATTAAAATAAATAGGTTTTTGTATATTTCTTGTTGTGGTCATGACTATCTCAAAGGGTGCATTAACATTTTTAATAGAAATATTTAAAATGATCTCAGGTTACTTAAATCTTGTTTTGGTACTTTCTCTGTTCAGGACTATATTTCTTAATAGGGAAGCAACCTGAATTTTCAAAATTAAAGATTAAAGCCATTCAGGTGTGAATTCTGAATGGTATGTTGGAACTTTATCAACAACTGACCTCTTGAATTTTATTTGAAGGGATGCCTTTGCAATGTTATAAAGGTTAGAGAAGGAATCCTCACTATACTACTTCAGATCAAGTGTGAACAAGACATATTGTGAACTGAATTAATTTTACTGAACAGTTGAATTCTGTGACCTTTTAGAAAACAAGCAGAAAAAAAATAAACTGGCTTTTTAAAATGTTACTGTCATAAAACAATTTATATTTGACGCTGTGCCTAATTCTAATGCCACTGCATGTTTGTTAAGAATGTTTGTAATGACTACAGCAGTTATTTATTGAAAAGTAAATAGTGCTCATGAGAGGAATTATTGACAGCTACTGGGAATAAAGTCCTATTTATACTAAGCGGGTAAGTCTGGGTAGAAACAGTGCAATGATACCATTTTTCTCTGCTGTCATGCATTGAGTCTGTTATCAACATAACGGGGATAGAAAAATGGTTTTTTTAAAGTCCAGTCCATTGTAAAGCATTCCTGGTAGCAGGTTTTGATGTGGATGCTAAGAACCTTCAACTTTCTACTAGAAGATAAAGCTAACTCATTTCACAAACTAGGTTTTCCTCAGTTGGTGGTAGTTTTTGGTCACTCCTAATGTTGGCTAGATACATACTGAGGACCCAAAGATGAAAAAGTCCTGTGTACCCTGTATACCTCTTAGGCAGCCCTCGGTAAAACTTAGTTTTTCTAATGGGTTCAAGTAAATGTCCTAGTTACCACGGGCTATAGAAATGGGCATATCTTAACTATGCTAGTCTGATTATGATGAAGGCCATCAACAAACAGGGCTTTTTTACTATTCTGAAGAAACTAGGTTGTCCCCCTGAACTGTTGAACGTCATTCGCTCATTACATCAAGGTATGAAGGCAACTGTAGTGTATGAAAACAAAGAATCAAATGCCTTTGACATCAACAATGGAGTGAAACGGGTACGTCTTAGCCCCCCGTGCTCTTTAACTAACTTCTACTTTTTCATACATTCAAGGGCAGCAACGATTATATTTATCTTCGAACCATGGAGGCTTGTTCAACATCGCAAGGTTTAAAGCGAAAACCAAGGTGAAAGAGCTGGGTCTGAGAGATTTCCTGTTTGCGGATAACACAGTCCTGGTCGCCAACAGTGAGTCTTCCCTGCAAAATCTCTTGGGCAGATATTCTGAGCCATGCAAGAGCTTTGGGTTGACAATTAATCTCAAAAAGACTGTGATCATCTACCAAGGGGTGGAAGAACCAATATCTGACATCACTCTGGAGAGTAGATTTCTTGGTGTCATCGACAGCTTTTGTTACTTGGGTTCTGTGATCAGCA